AAATGTCATGGGCTTGATGAGTTTCAGGCAATACAAATTTGACCTTTCCACAAGCAAATAGCTAAAAGGTGAATGAAAGCAAATAAATAGATAAGTAGATCAGCAAGTGGCATTCGAAGAGCCTAAACAGGTGTGAAGTTTATGTCAAACAAAGCTAGAGAAGGAGAGCGTTAAGAAGGGCATATATTAGGAATGAGAAAATAGGATATGGAGAAGAAAAGGTTCAGAGAGGATGTGCAAGACTCAAATGGGGAGATGAGATTTTGTATGGATAAGATGGCCATGAGTTTGACTGGAGGAAAAATCAAGAAATTTCATTATAATACAAGTAATAGGATTTTTCTGTGTTTGTTTTAGGAACAAGGAAAAAGATCTACTAAGTCAGAAACCTTGCCCAGGGTTTTACCATCAATCAAGGGGCAAGTTTGTGGGGAGCACCTGCAATCAGGAGCATGATAAATCTCCAAATTCTATCATGTATTTTGTGCTATGACCTGTTCCCTCTGTTCTACTACAGAAACCCGTCCCTCTGCCCCCAGTGACCCTTCCTCCCTGCCACTGGTATACATAGTATTGATCAGAGCTTCCCCCTTTTCCTCTTTAGTGCTCCTCCAAGCACACTGCACTCTGATTATCCTCTCTCATGTTCCCCCTTGGAAATTTTCCATCAGTGTAAAACACCACACCTCAGTAATTAAAAATCTCAACCTATGGACTTTTATTAAGCATTCATTGTGTGTTAGAGAATGTAGATGTGTGTAAATGAAAAAAAAATGCTTTATAGGGTGGAGGGAGATTGAAGTACAAAAGTTATGTGCTAAGGGTTACAGAAATAAAATTAATAATAATAGATGAACTACCTACCTTAATGATCTCATTTCTGAGTCTCTAATCTTCCTCTAAACCCATAAGCATGTTGTACTATTTTTCATTCCAGTTTTACTCTTTCTTCAATTGCAAACTTTCTTTAAATGGAGTTTTTTAGCTATGCTGTCCATCCTCCCTAACTACAATTCCTCGATTACAAACTTTTCACTTCTCTTCACTCTGGTTTCTATTGTCGCCATTCCAGTGAATCTCTCTTATTCAGGTCACTAATAACTTACTCCAAACTTCTGTGCAATAGCAATAAATGCATAAACTTTAAGGTGTACTTATTTGTTCTCATTTTCTGGAACTTCTGCTTAACTAACAAGTTGTTCATACATGCCTTGACATTTTCTACTAAATTTATTTCCAGAGCACCATATTTTCCTGATTTTTTTTCCCATACTTCTCTGGTCCCTCCATTTATGTTTCTCTTTTATTTTTTTTTATGGATTTTGTTTGCTTGTTTGTTTTTAGTTTTTGGTATAGGTTGCATGCACTCATGAGAGAGAAGAGAGTATGAGAGTGAGAAATCAGCAGGGGGGATGGTCATGCCACATTCCCTTCTTCTCCATTATCTTCTAGAGGTTTTGGACATGGACACATGCCCAGTTTGTTTTTAGGCCTCTGGGTTCAGGACTTGGACCAGTCAATCAGTAATGTGGAATCTAGTCACCTTAACTACCAGACTGCCAGCTGGTCAGGGACACTTTTTTAAAATAGTGATTTCAAGTGCACATATAAACTTGCATTTAAATAATAATGGAAGGTGCTTCCTTGATGAATTAACTACATCAATGTTCTTATTTCTGAATCTCTCATCTTCATCCAAACACATAAGCATGTTGTACTATCTTTCATTCCAGTTTTGCTCTTTCTTCCATTACAAGGTTCCTTTAAATGGAGTTCTTTAGCTATGCTGTCAGTCCTCCCCATGTACCCTTCCTTGTTTACGAACTTTTCACTTCTCTTCACTCTGGTCTCTACTGTCACCATTCCATTGTGTATCTTTGTGGGGGTACAGCATGGTTTTTAAAGCATGTATACAGGGTAATAATCAAATTAAGGATATAGACATATTAATCTTATTTGACGTTGAATATTACATTACATTGTACACATTTGATAGTTGCAACTAGTCTTTTTTTGGTTTTCTGTAAAGTATTGAATTGCCAATGTCATCTTTTATTCTGTTGTACTACACCTATCTTAAACCTATCCCATTTGTTACTACACCTTTCCATAACCAATTTCATTTGTTTACATCACTCTTTTAATATTGATGTACTCCAGGGTTTTACTCTCAGTCTTATCCTGATTCTGAGGTTATGTGCTAATGTCTTCCAAATTTACATCTTAAGCTATGGCCTTTATAATTTGTTCAGATTCCTCATTTCTAATGTCCTAAGGTAGCTCTGTGTGTGGGAATTATAAGCAGCTCAACCTTGACAGGTCCCAATACATACTAAATATACTCCTTTGCTTATGTTTCACCATTTGTTTGTGTTTCACATATTGGTGATCCTACTTACTCAAGCCAGAAGACAGTGTGCCATCTGAACCTCTCTTTTTACAATGGATACAACCTATCCTCTCCTTTACATTGAATCTGTCAATAAGTTCTGCCTACATGATCACTGGAAGATGCCTCTTCTTCTCATCTTTAGTGCTTCAGCATTTATTCTGAAATTCATGGCTTCTTGTCTGGATGATCACAGTTTCCATTCCTTCCATTTCTTCTCTCTCACCTAAATCCATGGATTTACCTAAATCCATCCATAACAATGTGCCCAGAGTGAAGTTACAGTACCCCAAATCTAGTCATTGCTACCCTAATGGAAATGCTTCTTTGTCATCTCTTTCTTTAATTAATTCCCAAATCTTTAACATAGGCAAAGTCCTTAGAACACTGGATTTCTGTTTTTTCAACTCCGTTTTGTTCTTTCAACTCATCTTCTTGGTTTCAGTTGGGTTGAATATTACGTAGAATTTCCTTCCAGCATTTCTTTAGATTTTTCTCCAAGGTTTCAATGCAATACCAGAAACTCATTACCTGCAGTTTTTGTACATATAAATCTTCCATGTTCATCAAAACTTAACCAAGGTATTAGAAACTTTAGAAATGTTTCTCAGGTTGAGTTAGAACTTCTGTGCCTTTCTATCACTTTGGTTATGTGCCCAATAATTCATTTTATAGATACTTTGAGCACCACTTCATGTCAAATACTATACCAGTGGGTGAGCATGGTAACTCATACTACTTTCATGTCATGAAATGTCTACTTGGAATTGAGGGGAAGGAGCACTTAACTAAATTACCACACAATATGTAACTAATTTTTCACTCAGGGGATAATGGTAGTTTAGTCTTCCAGGATGGCATTGGATTTGGAGAAGTGAATGGATTTAGAAAACCTTTTAGTTTTGAGGAAAACTAAAAGAGAAAATTGACAGTTCTTTCTTTGTTGTGAGTTATGAGTGAAGGGTATATTCAAGATAGTTTTTAGGCTCTGGCTTCTGGCAATGGAAAATATTTATGCCATTCACTGTGATAGGAGATGTTAGAAAAATATCATGTTTTGCAGAAAAATTGTGTAAGTTTGGACTTGGCGAGTTTGAGAGATCCAAATAGACATTTCAAATATGCTCTTGAGTGGTCTAGGGAAAGTTGATGACTTAGTAATCATTTAGTAATAGAGACAGTAATTATCTAAGGCTATAGAAAATAAATGAAAGAGTAGAAAAAGAAAACAGAATAAAGCAGAGAGGAGAAGAAATCAAAGAAAATTTAGGGTGTGTATGCTTGTAGGAGAGAGAGAGAAAAAAAAACAAAACTGAGAAGCATTCCCCATGGAGGGTGACCATACTGCAATCCTTTCTCTTCAATTCTCTCAGGATTTTGGGTACACAAACACATGCACCCTGTGTGTTTTCTAAACTGCCAGATCCAGGAATTGAACTGCTCAGTCATCCATGCAGGATACCACTGCCTTAACCACCACACCATCTGGTTGGCCCAAAGGTTTGACATTCTTGAAGTTGAACAGATTCTCTATCTTAATGAAAGAGAAGAACGGGAAAATGTTCAAGAAGATTTATAAGTTTTACATAGGGAAGTTGAAAAAAAATCTTAGGAGTCACTTTCTATTTTCTGCAAAATATAGTAGTTTATATGATCTTCCAAGAGAGATGGAGTTTGAGGTTTGAAGAGAACTGAAGACATTTTGAAAAGGGTCTTGTCTAGATGAGAAAGTTGATCAGAGAAGATTTGGAGTATGCAAAGACAATATCAAGAGCCCCTTGAAGTTTGGTAGTCATAAATTTAAATAAAAGTGACCCTTTCTCTTATCATAACCCTTTCAGGCTTATCTAGGAGCACTGGGTTGCTCAGGGTCAGACCTTGGAAAATGAATAGTTATCCATTCATAGTTATTCTTATCCACATAGGATAGAGGTTTTAGCAAAGAGCTGCTTTAATCTATTTACAGTTTATTTTCTTGTATTGTACCATGGGCTTGGTTAAGAAATGCAACAAAATTATACCTCACAAATTACATTGGTGTACACAGGAAGTAAAGGCCAATGAATAGTCCCCTCTAATACAAATGAACAATTTTCTCAAAAATTCTTTTTTTAAATATTTATTTATTTATTTATTTTGAACATGAGTTTTGCCAGAAAAAGAGAGAGAGAGAGAGAGAGAGCAAGCTGCCAGGTCCAGGACTTGAACTGTGGTCAGCCATGTGGGAATTCCAGCACAATAACTACTATATCATCTGTTGGCCCCCAATTTTCACAAGATTCTTATTAAAAAAAAACATCTATATTGCTTTTCTTACATTGATACCTTACTGGCCCAATTTATTGCACATTAATCATGTCTTTTACTTTACAGTAAGGTTATTGCCTATCATTGCATACTTCTTAATACATCATAGTTTTATAATTATAATTTTTATTTTTGGATAGATTTCTTTCTTTTCCAAAGTCCATAGTAGTATTTACCAAATTCCACTATTTTGCTTTTAGGATGTTGCCTGAAATTTGTGCTGTGTAGCAAGAGTGCTCTACATATCATCAACTTCCTAAAGAGTAGGTGAGAGACATACTTTTGAAAGCAATTTTATAAAACTGCTTCTTGTATCTGCCCATAAATAGTCAAGAGGAACCTACCTACTCACCTTAAGATTCAGCCCATGATATCACCTAGCAACGGTTCCATTGCCCCTGTCTCCGAATTCCTCCTCATCTGTTTCCCTAACTTCCAGAGCTGGCAGCACTGGCTGTCCCTGCCCCTCAGCCTCCTCTTTCTCCTCGCCATGGGGGCCAACGCCACTCTCCTGATCACCATCCAGCTAGAGACTGCTCTGCACGAGCCCATGTACTACCTGCTCAGCCTCCTCTCCCTACTGGACATTGTGCTCTGCCTCACCGTCATCCCCAAGGTCCTGGCCATCTTCTGGTTCGGCCTCAGGTCCATCAGCTTCTCTGCCTGCTTCCTCCAGATGTTCATCATGAACAGTTTTCTCCCCATGGAGTCCTGCACATTTATGGTCATGGCCTATGACCGCTACGTGGCCATCTGCCACCCACTGCGGTACCCCTCCATCATCACTAACCAGTTTGTGGTCAAAGCTAGTGTCTTCATTGTGGCACGAAATGCCCTTCTCACTGCACCTATTCCTATCCTGACTGCCCGGCTCCGATACTGTGGGAAGAATGTCATTGAGAACTGCATCTGTGCCAATCTGTCAGTGTCCAGGCTCTCCTGTGATAATTTTACCCTTAACAGAATCTATCAATTTGTGGCTGGCTGGACCCTGCTGGGCTCAGATTTCATCCTCATCTTCCTTTCGTACACCTTCATTCTAAGAGCTGTGCTCAGGTTCAAGGCTGAGGGAGCTGCAGTGAAGGCCCTGAGCACTTGTGGCTCCCACTTCATCCTCATCCTCTTCTTCAGCACCATCCTGCTGGTTGTGGTGTTGACAAATGTGGCCCGAAAGAGGGTCCCCATGGACATCCTAATCCTTCTGAATGTCCTTCATCATCTTATCCCCCCTGCCTTGAACCCTATTGTATATGGGGTTCGTACCAAAGAGATAAAACAAGGAATTTGGAAATTGTTGCAGAGAGGGATGTGAATATATAAATAGATATCTTATTCCTCCTTTCTTTCTTTCTAGTTTTTTTTCCCCCCAGGCATCAAGGTAGACAAATATATTGCCTACCTTGGTTGTTCCCTCCCCCACCCCCATAGGCACTTGTGCTCACTGGAGAGAGAGAGAGAGAGAGAGAGAGAGAGAGAGAGAGAGAGAGAAATCATCCCCTAGGCAGGATGGCCATGCTGCCATGCTGCCACCCTTCTGCTCCATTCTTCTTTTGGGGTTTTGGGCATACATGCACACATGCTTGAGGTGATATTGAAGCCACTGGGTCTGGGACTCAAACTGTGGTTGGCCATGTGGGAGTCCAGTGCCTTAACCACTATGTAACCTGCTGGTGAGTTGTTTTTTTTTTTTTTACACACACTGGGGCTCAGTTCTTAATGTAACTAGATTCATTTATTTACTTTCTTCGGTTCAGGAGAGAATGGCAAGTAGAAGGAACTTGTTCCTCTAGTGACTACTTTGAGCCTAGACAATTATGTTTAAGTAATTGACTCTTCAAAACATTTCTGCAGGTATCATTACTTCTATTTCATATGGTAGAAAATAGATGCCTTTATGAGTGGATTTTGCCAAAAAGTGTAACTGTTCTTGATGTTGGTGTGGACGGTAGGGATAGGGCTTCTTTTAAAGTCGCTCAGTGATATCAGGAAAGAAAAATGACATCCATTGGCCTAGCAGAAGGGCTCTTAGTACCTCTAAGCTTGACTCTCGTCTCAAGACAGCCACCGTGGTGCCTTAGCATTTGTCATTTTTCAGGAGGAAATCATCTAAGAGGGCTTCTCTCCATCTCGTGGTTGCTAGAAGAGTTTTATCCAGCACTAGCTCCAACTTCCCCCTCGGAGGACATGAGGGTCAGCTTCAGCACTGATTACCCAGAAGGAGACTAATAATCTCAGTATTCTAATATGTTAATAAAAATCACGGTAATAATAAAAACCAAAGCTTACATGTTTTGAGCACTTGCATTATATCAGAGTCTATGCACAATACACTGAATATTCAAAAAAGCCTTTTATATATGATTTTAAAAGTGAGCTTACAAAACAGCAAGATACAATCCATAGAAATATGATTCATTTGTATTCAAGTGATACTTTCAAACATGGTGTCCACTGTGTCCTGGAGAGCTTTCTCTACCTCCATTGTGTTTTCAGCCAGGTACAAACCCAGGAGGACCTCAAAGAAGAGTCACTGTTAGTTGGTCAAAATTCAGATCTTAATTCCTGAACCAGGCTTCTCTAGATCAAGGCAATTGGCCAAGATAATGTTGAGAAGCTTGATTCAAACTGGGTCTACACAGGGAGAGAAGCTGCCAACTCATGTTAGGGATCTGTAAAGGATGGAGGGGACCAACACATCTGTGGTCATCTCTCTCAGTAATTAACACAGCTTTTGCTTATCAAGGGGCTTAATAAACATTCCCTTACTTACAAGTGGCTTGAAGAGATGACAAATCTAGTCTTCATTGAACTTCTAATTTCATCGTAGAGCCCTAAATACAAGGAACAGATAAACCACATGTGAGGGCTGGTTCTCTGCTCTGGTTCTGACAGAGGGTCAGAGGGCCAGATTACTCACAGAAGTGTCAAGCCCAGTGCAAGTGGTTGAAGAACTGAACACAGTGGACTTGGATAGGCTTCGAGGTAAATCTACACATATCTCTCTTCTTTGAGACACATACACACACACACACACACACACACACACACACATACACACGAGAGAGAGAGAGAGAGAAAGAGAGAGCAAGAGAGAGACAGAGCAAGAGAGAGAGAGAAGGGGGAGAGAGGGTGAGGTACCACTAGTGGGTCTTCATGCCATGATCCACCCCTAGCCTCAACCAGCTTGGATCATAGATGCCCATTCATACTCAGCAGATATATGGAGGGCCTGGAATGTGAACCCAAGACCTTCTCATGTGAGTCCAGTTGTTTTGCTGTACCACCATCTGGCCTCAGTAGAGGTCTTTGAACACTGTCTTGGTTGGATAGAGTGACACAGCATAAATCGAGCATTTAAAATCACAGGGACACTGATGTTTTGTTAATTTGTTTTAAGTGAGAAAAATCTATGAAGGATCACTTTGCTAATACAGACTGACTATGCCCCAATTGTTCTGGAAGAGAGTGTATTCAGAACATGAGGACAGGGAGGGCAAAGGCTTGCCAACAGCCACTCACCTCACCCCACTGGTCTGCATGTTAGTCACATCTGCAAGAGGAATTTGCACGAGGAATACAGAGTCTTTTGAGAAGGAAGATCTAATACCACTGAACACTGTTATTCAGCACCTTTATAGACGTAAATGGAGACCCAGTGGCAACCAAAAGTAACAAACTCCCTGGAATTAAACTGTCTGGAGGAAAAACAGAGCTTATGTTGGTGGCTGATGCTTAAAACAAAGATCTGAGGGAGCAGTAATACACTTTCTATATATCATAGAAAGCTTCCTAGAACATAGCCATTATGCTACTTGATTGTGTTTCAGGGTATAGTCTAAGAATATGAGACTTGGGGAACCAGCAGTTAGCGTAATGGCTATGTCGCTGGACTCCCACGTAGTTGACTGCGGTTCGCGTCCTGGACCCGGTGGCTTAAAACTCACTCTGGGCGCGTGTGCGTGCGTGCCCAAGATCCCGAGAGGAGAATAGAGAAGGGATTGCGGCGTGACCATCCCCCCTGGGGAGTGATGTCTTGCTTTCTGTCTCTATGTCTCTCTGTCTAGCAAGCGCACGCGCCCTATAGCGAAAAAAACTCTCCAAAAAAAAAAAAAAAAAGAATATGAGACTTGTGATTTCGGAGATCAAAGTGGTGCAGTCATAGAGAAAACAACGATGGCATTATTGCCAGAAGGAAATGCTTCGTTCTTGGCAAGTCAACAGTGCCCCCTTGTGACTGTCAATGGGAATAACAATATTGGAGTGAAATTCAGTTAACTTTGGTTTGATGTTTGAAGGAATGAAAACTTTGTACTCTGAAAACTCCTGAGGCCCTTTAACACATAGAGAGTGAGGTGGTAGGTAGGTTACAGAAGAAATTGCAATTTCTGATCACAGGGCATGTGGAGATTTGAATTATTATTGAAAAAAAATAAGAGCAATATAATATATACTCTGATTTTCTTTTTTGCAGTGACATTTAAAAGTCAATATAAAATCAATGACATGAGACAGATATTCATAAGGATAGTGTTTGTTCTCAGTAATTCATAATATCTCATGCTATCAGTATTTGACCATGGACCATATGTAATAAATATTTATTCATTTCAATACTCATTCAACTAAACATTAGTTACTTAGTTCTTTATGTGTGATTAGTCCTGTGAAAGTTATTTATTTTCAGAGAGATTATGGTCAAATAGCTCATGAATTATTATTATTCCCAGTTTTGAAGATAAGGCAACTGTACAAAAAGATGAATTGCACATGGTCATCAAACTAGTAAGGATTAGAATCAGGACTAAGAAATTAAGCACATTTGCTATATAAATCCATTTTTCCTATGACTGGTATCTGGAGATCAAACTTTATTTTTAAACTTTGGATAAATTTGTAGCTTGCCAAATGTTTTCATGTTCCAACTTGTAAGATGCAAAACCAGAGCACGCCTAAAACCTATCTTACATTGAATTAATCACTGTAAATAAAGTTAGTTACTGTAACAAAGATATCATGTGACCTAAAATAATAAAAGTTTACTTCTCATTCACATTCCATGCCAATGCATGATGTAATTCTTCAAGCAATAACTGTCCATGGAATACTTTGGAAGTAAATACTCTAACGTTTTTAAGTCTTGAGGATGGGGAAAGTTCTAGACTAGATTCTGGCTATGTTCTCCAAGAGAAACACTCTGGACCATTGTTCCTTTGTTTCAATGTCCTAGCCTTTTTTTTTTTTTTTTTTTTTTTTGTTATTCTGCCTTGGGAGGTTTATCTCTTTCTCAGTCTCTCTTTTTATTTTATTTTATTTCATTTTTTAAAAATTGCCTGAGGGCATGTGAACTCACCATAGAGAGAGAAACAAAGAGAAGGAGGGAGAAAGCCTCCCCCGATAAGGCATGGTCACATTGTAATTCCTTCCTCATTCCTACATCCTGTTGTGATTTTGAGCATGCATACACATATGCCCACCTGGTGTTACTTAAGCCACTAGGGTTAGGACTTGAACTATGGTCCACCATGTGGGATCTGGCTCTCTTAACCACTAGATCACTGGGCTAACCCTGAGAGTTTGTTTTCTAATGAGAGTGAAAGTGAGTGTGGGAGGGAGAGGCAGAGATATATATGTGTATATATATATATTTCATAGAGTCTCACCATATTGTGATCCTCCTGCCCTAGACTCCCAGTCAGCTAGGGCCACAGATGCACACCACTAGGAGTAGCCTGCCTAGGTTGATCTGGGAACTGAACTTGCACCTCCCATGCAGCCCCAGGCTTTGCACAGTGGTGCCTCTCACTGGTGCCACCACTGTTCAGCCAGTTTGTGTCTTTTTCAGTTCCCCATGACCTTCTATGAAGCAGGCACTGAGGAATGTGACTTCTTTTGCAGTGACACTGCCTTTGAGTCAACTTCCTGCTTATAAAGTATTAGGATAAAGTTCTAAAATTCAAAATCAAAACCAATCGTCATGTGGTGGTCTTTGCTGAAAATGATGAATATGGTAATATATTTGATTTGATTATTGCACACTGCATGCATGCTTTAAAAATCCAAAGATGCACAACCATTTAATGAAAATAAGTCTCTCTCTCTCTCTCTATATATATATATATATATATATATGTATATTTAAAGTTAAGCTCATGTTTCTTTGGCAACAAATGTCTTACAAAACCTAAAAACATTCTGATCTATTTGTATCTGGTTAGTTCCATGTACTAGTAATCACACCCAAAGAATTCTCTCAGATATAATTTCAAAATTGTCTTTCCTTTCTTTGTCATCTTCTCCCATTCCCCACGCCAC